GCCAAAAATGACTGAGAAACTTAGTGTCGCGATCAGAAACAATGCATCTTGGAATGCCCTGTTGTATGAATTGGCAAAGCTCATATAATCCCTTATTACTTCCATGCATTTTCGCTTTTCTACATGTTTCACAACGCTCAATCAGCCTGGACACATCTTTGTTAAATTTAGCCCAGTAGAAGTTTTTTTGAATCATCTTCAATGCTTTAAAATGGCCAAAATGACCAGCTAATCGACCCTCATGTGCTTCCCTCACAATGGACTCCCTTAAAGAGCTTTGTGGTATGCCCAAAGTAAAGAAACCCATCTCGAATTACACAAATTCTTTGTGGACTCTCTAAGCATCTCTTCCAAACATGTCGAATCCAGATGCATTAGTTTCAATCATAGAAAGAAAGCAAGGTCGCATCAACCACCTGATTGAGGTTTCCAGCTTTGTTGCTTGATTACCAACCCATTTTGAGCTTTTGTTGGTGACTTAGATACTTTAGTGCCTCGTGATCAAAATATAGCACAAACTCTCTTGGTAATAAATATCAATGTTGCAACACGCGAACGATAACATAGAACTCTTTTTCATAGGTGGAGTACTTCAATTTAGATCCACTTAGCTTCTCGCGCCACGGGTTTACCTTCCTGGCTAATAACTCCTCCAGCACCAACACCCGAAGCATCACATTCTACTTCAAATAAAACATCAAAGTTAGGTAACTGAAGGATAGGAGCTTGTGTCATCTTCTTTTTTACCAATTCAAACCTCTTTTGAGCTTCTTCATTCCACTTGAACATAACTTCTTTCAAACACTCAATTATAGGGGCAACCAAAGTGCTGAAATTTTTGATAAATCGTCGATAGAAGGACACCATTTCATGAAAGCTCCATATATCCGAAATTGACCTAGGAATTGGCCAACTTATGATTGCCTCGATCTTGCTTGGGTTAGCTTGAATGCACTAGTTACTATGTAACCAAGAAAGCAAACACTGTTAGTATAAAGGATGTTCTTCTTGAGTTGTGCATATAGCTTCTCTCTTCCTAAGGTTTCAAAAACCTTCTCCAAATGCATTCCATGCTTAGCTTCCTCTTTGCTAGGGATTAAGATATCGTCTAAGTAGAAAACAACAAACTTCCCAATGAATGATCTAAACACATGAGTCATAAACCTCATGAATTTGCTCGGAGCATTTGAAAAACCAAAAGGCATTACCAACCATTGAAGGCGGTCCTCCATTCAACGTTCTCTCATACGAATCTGGTGGTACCCACTCTTCAAATCAATCTTTTGAAAAGGCCTTAGAACCAAGTAATTGGTCAAATAGATCATCTAACCTTGGGATTGGGTAGCGATATTTGATAGTGATCTTGTTGGTTGCTCGACCTTCAACACACATCCCCAGAGTGCCAAGGCTCTCCCTTATAATTCCCCTCTCTAATAATTCTTCGACTTGCCCTTGGAGTTCGGCTTGTAGTGTAGTATTCATCCTATAAGCGGCTTTGTTTGGCCGCGATGCTCCTGGTATAAGGTCGATTTGATGTTGAATATCGCGCATGGGTGGAAGTTCTAATGGTTCAGAATCACATCATTAAACTTAGCAAGTAATTTCTTGGCTCGTGTATCTAACTCATGTTCCTTATCTTGTGCGTCTTCCATGGCTCCTGTTATGTACAATGGCTCTCCTTTATTGATGTGCCCAATAATTTGTGATCTGGTCATTAGCGTATCAGACACGGTCTTTTTCTTCTTTGAAAGTTCTTTAGGGTGCAAAGGCGTCAAAACGACTTACGTCCATCAATTATTAATGAATAGGTGTTACGGTATCCATCATGAAAAACACGCTTATCATATTGCCCTGGTCTTCCAAGTACTAAATGACAAGCATCCATCTTTACCACATCACAGCAAATTTGGTCTTTATAGATTTACCAATAGAAAAAGAGACCAAGCATCAACTGTGACTTTCATACCTACACCATTTTAAAACCACCCAACTTTCTAAGGTGTTGATGTATACCTCGTGTGGGAGTTGCGATGATTCAGCATCTTCATGTTCAACATGTAAGATCCTCTGAATAACAAGCATCCTTCACCAGGTTCTACATGGGGATTCATCTTACTCATTAACTTCCTCAATTAGCGGGTTTTCTTCATGATTGGAATCATCTTCTTCGTCAACCAATATAACAGCCTTGCGGTTTGGAAGAAGTAGTCTTTTCATTGGAAGTGAGCACGGTCTTCTACTAAAAGCATCAGCCACATGATTGAGGTTTCCATTTTTGTGCTTGATTACGAACTGAAAATTCTGAAGAAACTCTCCCCATTTCCATGCCTTGCGTTGAGCTTTTGTTGGTGACTAAGATACTTTTGTGCCTCTCTTGGTAATATATAACGACTCCAAAGTTGCAACACGCGAAGAGTAGCATAGAAATCTTTTTTTATAGGTGGAGTACTTCAATTTAGATGCAATTAGCTTCTCGCCAAAATAAGCCACGGGTTAAGGTTTGGGGTGTACCTCAGTCTCCCAATCCAATTTGGTCAGCATCTCTTCCGAAACAGCATTAGTGCAACTTCCACCATCGATAATCACCGAACATACCTTGCCAAGTGATGTACACCTCGTGTGGAAAAGGTTCTTTCGTTGCGATGATTCTTCATCTTCATGTTCAGCATGTAAGATCCTCTCAATAAGCATATCACCTTCTCAATTGGCTGGTTTTCTTTATGATTGGAATCATCTTCTTCGTTGCACATAAAGTACGCCAAAAATGACTGAGAAACTTAGTGTCGCGAAGAGAAACAATGCTTCTTGGAATGCTTATGAATTGGCAAAGGCTCATTTAACATTTATGTTTCACAACGCTCAATCAGCCTGGACACATCTTTATTAAATTTAGGCCAGTAGAAGTTTTTTTGAATCATCTTCGATGCTTTTGAATGGCAAAAATTACCAGCTAATCGACCCTCATGTGCTTCCCTCACAATGGACTCCCTTAAAGAGCTTTGTGGTATGCCCAAAGTAAAGAAACCCATCTCGAATTACACAAATTCTTTGTGGACTCTCTAAGCATGTCGAATCCAAATGCATTAGTTTGTATCATAGAAAGAAAGCACGGTCGCATCAACCACTTGATTGAGGTTTCCAGCTTTGTTGCTTGATTACCAACCCATTTTGAGCTTTTGTTGGTGACTAAGATACATTAGTGCCTCATGATCAGAATATAGCACAAACTCTCTTGGTAATAAATGTCAATGTTGCAACACGCGAACGATAGCATAGAACTCTTTTTCATAGGTGGAGTACTTCAATTTAGGTCCAGTTAGCTTCTCGCGCCACGGGTTTACCTTCCTGGCTAATAACTCCTCCAGCACCAACACCCGAAACATCACATTCTACTTCAAATAAAACATCAAAGTTAGGTAACTAAAGAATAGGAGCTTGTGTCAAACCTCTTTCGAGCTTCTTCATTCCAGTTGAACATAGTCTCTTTCAAACACTCAATTATAGGGGCAACCAAAGTGCTCAATTTTTTGATAAATCATCGATAGAAGGACACCATTCCATGAGAGCTCCATATATCCGAAATTGACCTAGGAATTGGCCAACTTATGATTGCCTCGATCTTGCTTGGGTTAGCTTTGAATACCAGCACTAGTTACTATGTAACCAAGAAAGCAAACACTGTTAATATAAAGGATGTTCTTCTTGAGTTGTGCATATAGCTTCTCTCTCAGGTTTCAAAAACCTTCTCCAAATGCATTCCATGTTTAGCTTCCTCTTTGCTAGGAATTAGGCTATCGTCAAAGTAGAAAACAACAAACTTCCCAATGAATGATCTAAACAGATGAGTCATAAGCCTCATGAATTTGCTCGGAGCATTTGAAAAACCATAAGGCGGTCCTCCATTCAACCTTCTCTCATATGAATCTGGTGGTACTCACTCTTCAAATCAATCTTTGAAAAGGCCTTAGAACCAAGTAATTGGTCAAATAGATTATCAAACCTTGGGATTGGGTAGCGATATTTGATAGTGATCTTGTTGATTGCTCGACCATCAACACATATCCTAAGAGTGCCATTTTTCTCAGGAACAAGCCAAGCAGGTACAGCATAGGGACTAAGGCTCTCCCTTATTAATCCCCTCTCTAATAATTCTTCGACTTGACTTTGGAGTTCAGCTTGTAGTGTAGTATTCATCCTATAAGCGGCTTTGTTTTGCCACGATGCTCCTGGTATAAGGTCGATTTGATGTTGAATATCGCGCATGGGTGGAAGTTCTAATGGTTCAGAATCACATCATCAAACTTAGCAAGTAATTTCTTGGCTCGTGTATCTAACTCATGTTCCTTATCTTGTGCGTCTTCCATGGCTCCTGTTATGTACAATGGCTCTCCTTTATTGATGTGCCCAATGAACTGTGATCTGGTCATTAGCGTATCAGACACGGTCTTTTTCTTCTTTGAAAGTTCTATAGGGTGCAAAGGCGTCAAAACGTCTACGTCCATCAATTATGAATGAATAGGTGTTATGGTATCCATCATGAAAAACACGCTTATCATATTGCCGTGGTCTTCCAAGTACTAAATGACAAGCATCCATCTTTACCACATCACACCAAATTTGGTCTTTATAGATTTACCAATAAAAAAAGAGACCAAGCATCAATTCGTGACTTTCATACCCACACCATTTTAAACCACCCAACTTTGTAAGGTGTTGATGTACACCTCGTGTGGGAGTTGCGATGATTCATCATCTTCATGTTCAACATGTAAGATCCTCTGAATAAGAAGCATATCTCCTTCATCAGGTTCTACATGGGGATTCATCTTACTCATTAACTTCCTCAATTAGCGGGTTTACTTCATTATTGGAATCATCTTCTTCGTAAACAAATATAACAGCCTTGCGGTTTGGAAGAAGCACTCTTTTCATTGGAAGAGAGCACGGTCTTCCACTAAGAGAATCAGCCACATGATTGAGGTTTCCATTTTTGTGCATGATTACGAACTGAAAATTCTGAAGAAACTCTCCCCATTTCCATGCCTTGCGTTGAGCTTTTGTTGGTGACTAAGATACTTTTCTGCCTCTCTTGGTAATAAATAATTACTCCAAAGTTGCAACACGCGAAGAGTAGCATAGAAATCTTTTTCATAGGCGGAGTACTTCAATTTAGATCCACTCAGCTTCTCGCGCCACGGGACACCTTCCTGGCTAATAACTCCTCCAGCACCAACACCCAAAGCATCACATTCTACTTCAAATAAAACATCAAAGTTAGGTAACTGAAGGTTAGGAGCTTGTGTCATCTCCTTTTTTACCAATTCAATCCTCTTTTGAGCTTCTTCATTCCACTTGAACATGACTTCTTTCAAACACTCAATTATAGGGGCAACCAAAGTGCTGAAATTTTTGATAAATCGTCGATAGAAGGACACCATTCCATGAAAGCTCCGTATATTCGAAATTGACCTAGGGATTGGCCAACTTATGATTGCCTCGATCTTGCTTGGGTTAGCTTGAATACCAGCACTAGTTACTATGTAACCAAGAAAGCAAACACTGTTAGTATAAAGGATGTTCTTCTTGAGTTGTGCATATAGCTTCTCTCTTTGTAAGGTTTCAAAAACCTTCTCCAAATGCATTCCATGTTTAGCTTCCTATTTGCTAGGAATTAGGATATCGTCAAAGTAGAAAACAACAACTTTTCAATGAATGATCTAAACACATGAGTCATAAGCCTCATGAATTCGCTCGGAGCATTTGAAAAACAAAAAAGCATTACCAACCATTGAAGGCGGTCCTCCATTCAACCTTCTCTACGAATCTGGTGGTACCCACTCTTCAAATCAATCTTCCAAAAGGCCTTAGAACCAAGTAATTGGTCAAATAGATCATCTAACCTTGGGATTGGGAAGCGATATTTGATAGTGATCTTGTTGATTGCTCGACCATCAACACACATCCTCAGAGTGCCATTTTTCTCAGGAACAAGCCAAGCAGGTACAGCATAGGGACTAAGGCTCTCCCTTATTAATCCCCTCTCTAATAATTCTTCGACTTGCCTTTGGAGTTCAGCTTGTAGTGTAGTATTCATCCTATAAGCGGCTTTGTTTGGCCACGATGCTCCTGGTATAAGGCCAATTTGATGTTGAATATCGCGCATGGGTGGAAGTTCTAATGGTTCAGAATCACATCATCAAACTTAGCAAGTAATTTCTTGGCTCGTGTATCTAACTCATGTTCCTTATCTTGTGCGTCTTCCATGGCTCCTGTTATGTACAATGGCTCTCCTTTATTGATGTGCCCAATAATTTGTGTTCTGGTCATTAGCGTATCAGACACGGTCTTTTTCTTCTTTGAAAGTTCTTTAGGGTGCAAAGGCGTCAAAACGACTTACGTCCATCAATTATGGAATAGGTGTTACGGTATCCATCATGAAAAACACGCTTATCACATTGCCCTGGTCTTCCAAGTACTAATGACAAGCATCCATCTTTACCACATCACACCAAATTTGGTCTTTATAGATTTACCAATAAAAAAAGAGACCAAGCATGACTTTCATACCTACACCATTTTAAAACCACCCCAACTTTGTAAGGTGTTGATGTACACCTTGTGTGGGAGTTGCGATGATTCATCATCTTCATGTTCAACATGTAAGATCCTCTGAGTAACAAGCATATCTCCTTCATCAGGTTCTACATGGGGATTCATCTTCCTCATTAATTTCCTCAATTAGCGGGTTTTCCTCATGGTTGGAATAATCTTCTTCGTCAACCAATATAACAGCCTTGCGGTTTGGAAGAAATAGTCTTTTCATTGGAAGAGAGCACGGTCTTCTACTAAGAGCATCAGCCACATGATTGAGGTTTCCATTTTTGTGCTTGATTACGAACTGAAAATTCTGAAGAAACTCTCCCCATTTCCATGCCATGCGTTGAGCTTTTGTTGGTGACTAAGATAGTTTTTTGCCTCTCTTGGTAATAAATAATGACTCCAAAGTTGCAACACGCGAAGAGTAGCATAGAAATCTTTTTCGTAGGTGGAGTACTTCAATTTAGATCCAATTAGCTTCTCGCTAATATGAGCCACGGGTTAAGGTTTAGGTTGTACCTTAGTCTCCCAATCCAATTTGGTCAGCATCTCTTCCGTAACAGCATTAGTGCAACTTCCACCATCGATAATCACTGAACACCTTGCCAAGTGATGTACACCTCGTGTGGAAAAGGGTCTTTCGTTGCGATGATTCTTCATCATCATGTTCAGCATGTAAGATCCTCTCAATAACAAGCTTATCACCTTCTCAATTGGCTGGTTTTCTTCATGATTGGAATCATCTTCTTCGTTTGCACATAAAGTACGCCAAAAATGACTGAGAAACTTAGTGTCGCGATCAGAAACAATGCTTCTTGGAATGCCCTGTTGTATGAATTGGCAAAGGCTCATATAATATGTTTCACAACGTTCAATCAGCCTGGACACACCTTTGTTAAATTTAGGCCAGTAGAAGTTTTTTTGAATCATCTTCAATGCTTCTGAATGGCCAAAATTACCATCTAATCGACCCTCATGTGCTTCCCTCACAATGGACTCCCTTAAAGAGCTTTGTGGTATGCCCAAAGTAAAGAAACCCATCTCGAATTACACAAATTCTTTGTGGACTCTCTAAGCATGTCGAATCCAAATGCATTAGTTTGTATCATAGAAAGAAAGCACGGTCGCATCAACCACTTGATTGAGGTTTCCAGCTTTGTTACTTGATTACTAACCCATTTTGAGGTTTTGTTAGTGACTAAGATACTTTAGTGCCTCATGATCAGAATATAGCACAAACTCTCTTGGTAATAAATATCAATGTTGCAACACGCGAACGATAACATAGGTGGAGTACTTCAATTTAGATCCACTTAGCTTCTCGCGCCACGGGACACCTCCCTGGCAAATAACTCCTCCAGCACCAACAGGAAGCATCACATTCTACTTCAACTAAAACATCAAAGTTAGGTAGCTTGTGTCATCTCCTTTTTTACCAATTCAAACCTCTTTTGAGCTTCATCATTCCACTTGAACATGACTTCTTTCAAACACTCGATTATAGGGGCAACCAAAGTGCTGAAATTTTTGATAAATCGTCGATCGAAGGAAACCATTCCATGAAAGTTCCATATATCCGAAATTGACCTAGGAATAGCTTGAATAGCACTAGTTACTATGTAACCAAGAAAGCAAACAGTGTTGGTATAAAGGATGTTCTTCTTGAGTTGTGCATATAGCTTCTCTCTTCGTAAGGTTTCAAAAACCTTCTCCGAATGCATTCCATGTTTAGCTTCCTCTTTGCTAGGGATTAAGATATCGTCAAAGTAGAAAACAACAAACTTCCCAATGAATGATCTAAACACATGAGTCATAAGCCTCATGAATTTGCTCGGAGCATTTGAAAAACCAAAAGGCATTACCAACCATTGAAGGCTGTCCTCCATTCAACCTTCTCTCATACGAATCTGGTGGTACCCACTCTTCAAATCAATCTTTGAAAAGGCCTTAGAGCCAAGTAATTGGTTAAATGGATCATCTAACCTAGGATTGGGAAGCGATATTTGATAGTGATCTTGTTGATTGCTCGACCCTCAACACACATCCTCAGAGTGCCATTTTTCTCAGGAACAAGCCAAGCAGGTACAGCATAGGAACTAAGGCTCTCCCTTATTAATCCCCTCTCTAATAATTCTTCGACTTGCCTTTGGAGTTCGGCTTGTAGTGTAGTATTCATCCTATAAGCGGCTTTGTTTGGCCACGATGCTCCTGGTATAAGGTCGATTTGATGTCGAATATTGCGCATGGGTGGAAGTTCTAATGGTTCAGAATCACATCATCAAACTTAGCAAGTAATTTCTTGGCTAGTGTATCTAACTCATTATCTTGTGCGTCTTCCATGGCTCCTGTTGTGTAAAATGGCTCTCCTTTATTGATATGCCCAATAATTTGTGATCTGGTCATTAGCGTATCAAACACGGTCTTTTTCTTCTTTGAAAGTTCTTTAGGGTGCAAAGGCGTCAAAACGACTTACGTCCATCAATTATGAATGAATAGGTGTTATGAATGAATAGCCCTCGTCTTCCAAGTACTAAATGACAAGCATCCATCTTTACCACATCACACCAAATTTGGTCTTTATAGATTTACCAATAGAAAAAGAGACCAAGCATCAATTAGTGACTTGTAAGATCCTCTGAATAACAAGCATATCTCCTTGATCAGGTCAATTAGCGGGTTTTCTTCATGATTGGAATCATCTTCTTCGTCAACCAATATAACAGCCTTGTGGTTTGGAAGAAGTAGTCTTTTCATTGGAAGAGAGCATGGTCTTCTACTAAGAGCATCAGCCACATGATTGAGGTTTCCATTTTTGTGCTTGATTACAAACTGAAAATTCTGAAGAAACTCTCCCCATTTCCTTACCTTGCGTTGAGCTTTTTTTGGTGACTAAGATACTTTTGTGCCTCTCTTGGTAATAAATAATGACTCCAAAGTTCACGCGAAGAGTAGCATAGAAATCTTTTTCATGGGTGGAGTACTTCAATTTAGATCCAATTAGCTTCTCGCTAAAATAACCCACGGGTTAAGGTTTGGGGGTGTACCTCAGTCTCCCAATCCAATTTGGTCAGCATCTCTTCTGAAACGGCATTAGTGCAACTTCCACCATCGATAATCACTGAACATACCAAACTTGCCAAGTGATGTACACCTCGTGTGGAAAAGGGTCTTTCGTTGCGATGATTCTTCATCTACATTTTCAGCATGTAAGATCCTCTCAATAACAAGCATATCACCTTCTCAATTGGCTGGTTTTCTTCATGATTGGAATCATCTTCATCGTTTGCACATAAAGTACGCCAAAAATGACTGAGAAACTTAGTGTCGCGATCAGAAACAATGCTTCTTGGAATGCCCTGTTGTATGAATTGGCAAAGGCTCATATAATCCCTTATTTCTCCCATGCATTTTCGCTTTTCTACATGTTTCACAAAGCTTAATCAGCCTGGACACACCTTTGCTAAATTTAGGCCAGTAGAAGTTTTTTTGAATCATCTTCAATGCTTTTGAATGGCCAAAATTACCAGCTAATCGACCCTCATGTGCTTCCCTCACAATGACTCCTTTAAAGAGCTTTGTGGTATGCCCAAAGTAAAGAAACCCATCTCGAATCAATGTTGCAACACGCGAACGATAACATAGAACTCTTTTGCATAGGTGGAGTACTTCAATTTAGATCCACTTAGCTTCTCGCGCCACGGGTTTACCTTCCTGGCTAATAGCTCCTCCAGCACCAACAGCCGAAGCATCACATTCTACTTCAAATAAAACATCGAAGTTAGGTAACTGAAGGATAGGAGCTTGTGTCATCTTCTTTTTTACCAATTCAAACCTCTTTTGAGCTTCTTCATTCCACTTGAACATGACTTCTTTCAAACACTCAATTATAGGGGAAACCAAAGTGCTGAATTTTTTGATAAATCATCGATAGAAGGACACCATTCCATGAAAGCTCCATATATCCGAAATTGACCTAGGAATCGGCCAACTTATGATTGCCTCGATCTTGCTTGGGTTAGCTTGAATACCAGCACTAGTTACTATG